TGTCTTTATACTGCCTACGATTACAAGTACACTTACGATCATCGGTATACTGGTTGTTTGTTTAACCGCACCAAAACCACCAGGTATGTCCTTGTTGTTTTACATTCTTCGTATTCAATACGATAAAAATCCACAGTTAATTCGGCTCTATTTTACCAGTATTGTGAGTTTTAGTTAAAAAAATTCAAATTGTGATAATATTTTATATCGAGATGCTTAAAGCAAACCATCCAGCGAGGATGGAATTATAAGCACTACAACTGCTTCACTTTTTCATTTCAAATTAGTAGTGACGAGCGCGAACCAACCAAGATGATTATCACCAGTAGATCTGATACTTTGTCCATAAGTCGAACCTAGTGAGACTAGAAAATGACGAAAAAGGTACAGTTGCTTACTAGGAAACCTCATCAACTGTTATTCTCAATTCGAGCTCACATTTAACTCATGAGGGTAGAGCACATAGAGTAGAGAAAAATTCCCAAAGGATTAACCCCATTGTTGCTTTGTTTCAGAGCAACAGGCATAACAAATTTCTCAAAAAAAGAGATGATTGTATTTTCTAAAAAAGGTTGTTTTTCCTTTCATAATAAACGAACATTTTCACAAGTTGATTTATTACCAACTCAACTTACGTATGGTCGCTTGTTGAAGAAAGATCAACTTTATCATATTTAGTGTCCTACAGATGAAAGAGAGAAATTCATTAAATCATCACTTCTATTATTTTTGATAGTATTTTTTTCACATCTTGGAACGATAACAGCAGTTTATTCAGAATTTTGTTTTTCTCTATCTTATCTATGTGTTCTTTTAGCATCATAAATATGTGAAACAATAAGAAAAAATATAAGTGATTTTCTCATAGGACGTAGCGAAGATAAACATATTTTCTTTCTGAGACACATCTTGTTTACATTTTCTAACTGTACGTTGCCCGAAGATGGGAGCAAGCAGATAATAATAAATAGAGATGTATAGGAAGGAGGCTGTAAGATTTAGTCATCATATATACAGTCGAAGAAAATTGAAATTATACCCTTTGGATTTTTTTGTTTTTTATTACTATACGTTTTTATCTATTAACTTACTATATATAAGAAGAAAGTTCAGAAGCCGCCGTATCTTTTGGTATATTTACATTGAACATCAAATGCAGTTAAAAGTATAAATAGTGTATTAGAAGAAAAAGGACTTTTTTTTAATTCCATGGTGTCCATAATGTTGTAACATTTTTTATTTTGCATATATCTTAGCTTAGGTAAATGATAAAACCTTGAATTTTTTTCGAAAGATGTGCCGTGAAAAGCTCTACAAGACTTGTATAGACCAAATCCTATAGCGAATCGGTGAAGTTCTCGAATTATTTTCTATATGATGGGAAGTGACACTGCCACCCATAGGTTGTTCATTTTGAATATAAGAAAAACCATCAGAACAGATAAAATGGAATTCGATCATATAGCTTTTGTAGAGTTGTTCACGGCACATCTTTCGAAAAAAAAATTCAAGATTTTATCATTTACCTAAGCCAAGATATATATGTGAGATAAAAAATATTACAACATTGTGGATATCCGGTTTTGGCAATAAAAATAAATGTTCTTTTTCTTCTAATACACTTTATATTTTAAACTGCATTTGATGTTCAACATAAATATACTAAAAAATGCGGTGGGTTCTGGACTTTCTCCCCATATATAGTAGTTTAATAGTTAAAAACGTATAGTAATAAAAAACAAAAAAATCAAAGGATATAGTTTCAATTTTCCTCGATTATATATATATTTATATATTGATCTATTTATATCTTCTTTAGTTCTACTATTATGCCTGAACGCGTATACATTCTCTTTTCTAGTATATTCAGCTACATTCGTTTTGTTTCTCTTTATTCCTTTTATCGATCATGTATTATATCCTCTCTCGTATGCTCTAGTGAGTTCTCATCTCTTTATTACATTCTAGTGAATGCTTTCCCTTTTCCACTATTTGAAATAATAACACATTGCATAAATGTAATCAGATAACACTTTTCTCTTATATTAATAACTGGTTGGTGGTCGACCACCTTCACATAGTGAAGAGAGAGCAAGTACATTTCTATTGGATCATCGTTCAAATATCTCGACAATAAAAAGTGCTAAATTCTCAGAACATCGTAACAGTATTATGAAACCTGAAATCAAACGAATTATCCAGTGATTGATCATCTTCAATCAGTTGTGGAGTGCAGGTGTGGATGTCAATGTTTCTCTTCCCTCTACTAAGCCATGCACAGTGGGCAGCAGGCAGTCCACACCTATATTCTAGATTTTTAACCAGTGACAAAATACACCTCGTTCAAAAAAGGTTTTTTAAAATATCATGGGTGTTGGTTTCATATTTCAAACAGATAAATGTTATGAAAAAGAGCCCTATCGATGGTCGATGATGCATTGTTCTTTGTTCAACAAATCTGTGCTTCACTCTGTTTTTCTTAGTATCATAACCATTAGACAAATTCATCATTTTCTTAATCTTTTATTTCATTTTCTGTATCATCCTTATTTTCTTACTAAATGAAGATATAGCTAACATTCTTCTGTTTTTATACAACAAGTAACAAGGAGTAGGATGAGTTTGCCAAAGAATTAGTTCCTGAAAATGTTTCTTTATTGAGATGAGAAAAGAAAATTTCTATAAAAATATAATAATCACCTTTTTAGAGAAACTTATTATTTGTGGAGTTTTCTCTAATTTATGACTCCAATCAATGAGCAAAATATGAGCTCAAACAGAATGAATTAGTTGATGAAGTTCACACATTAGTGTTTTCTTTCTGAATTATACCTGTTATACTGATATTTTCCTATAGATCACAGTGTACACTAATAAGTCAAATGATGGTATTTTGACCTGATATTTTGCTCTCATATATGTTTCATAGTTATTAAAATACCATAAAGTTTCTAGGGAGCGCATGCATGTCTCTTGTAGGATAACAATGAAAAATATTCATGATGTAATTAGAAGATTGTTGCAATGCAACCCTACTGGCATTGTTTTGATTTCGAAATGACTCGCAATTTTTGTCATTATAGTATATTTGTGGCTAATAACATGTCATCAAAGAATCTATAAGATAGAGATGATAGTAACTCTGATCATGTAGTAAGAGCCAGCCCGTAGTCCTTATGTAAATCGTATTATTTGCAATGTCTGTTGTTTCTCAGTTACCGTGTGGGTCTTCAAAGTGTTCTCTAGTAAATGACAGAAAGTGCATGATGAATAATCTGAGTAATGAATTTCGCAAGACTCGATGAGGTTCAAATAAAAAGCGTTGGTATCCATCCAGATTTGGCTGTAATCATCCCACAATATCGATAAGAATATGATCAGAATCATGTGAATCTGATACAATCCACTAATGACTATTGAATTAGAGGAACTGATCCATCTTTATTTTTTTGTTCTTCTGTCATCTAGTCGCAAAATGTCAACTCAACTTCAAACCAACCACCCCAAATCCAGTTGATTATAAGTCTGGTCCACGATCTGTCGCCATCGGTGACTTCAACAATGATACTTGGCCAGATATTGCTATAGCTAATTATGCTGCTGATCACATAGCTGTATATTTTGGATATGGCAATAGGACTGCGGCAAGGCCAATCACATATGCGACTGGTTCCGGCTCTGCTCCGTACATGGTCGCCGTTAACGATTTTAACAACGATGATCGACTGGATATTGCAGTCGCAAACTTTGGCACAAACAACATCGGTATTCTTCTTGGAACCGAAAATGAATCTTTTGCAAGCCAAAAAACCTTTTCAACTGTCTCCTCTCGTCCCATTTGGATCCACGTAACTGATCTCAACAATGACACAGCATTAGATATTATCACCGCTAACTATGGCACACATAGTGTAAGTGTTTTTTATGGATATGGAGATGGAAGCTTCTCAAAACCAAGCACATACTCTACGGACTATGATTCTTTCCCATTTGCGGTTGTCAGTGGTGATTTCAACAATGACCAACAGCTAGATCTTGCTATCGCCAATTATGGCACCAACAACGTTGGTATAATGTTTGGAACTGGTAACAACACTTTTGCAAATCAAATCACGTACTCAACTGGTCCTAATTCCCATCCATACTCGATTGCTGTAGGTCATTTAAATGACGACAACATACTAGATATCGCGGTCACCAACAATGGAAATAACAGTGTTGGTGTTTTTCTGGGTCACGGCAACGGAACTTTTATGAGACAAGCGACATATTCCCTCAGCGCTGCTTCTCCATACTCTATTGGCATTGGTGACTTCAACAATGATAACCGAAAGGATTTAGTCGTCACAAATAATGGCACTGACAATATTGCTGTGTTTCTCGGATATGGTAACGGTACCTTTGTAAGCCCAAAAATGTATTCAACTGGATCTTCTTCTTCGATCTTTGTTGCCATAGATGATTTCAACAGAGACGATCGTTTAGATATTTTCGTCATCAATAATGACACGAGCAGCATAGATATCTTGTTTGGCTATGACGAGGTCTTTCCAAATCAAACTAAATATCCAACCGGTTCTGTACCGCTGTTTGTGGCTGTCGCTGACTTTAATAACGACACCATATTGGATATCGTTGTCACTAATCGTGATGACAACACTGTAAGTGTACTTCTCGGATATAGTAATGGCTCTTTTGCAAGACAAGTAAAATATTTCACTGGCACTAGACCATATTGCGTAGCTGTCGGTGATTTTAATAACGACACTCGACTGGATGTCATTGTCACTAATCATGAGAGCCACAATGTAAGTATATTTCTCGGATATGGTAATGGCTCTTTTGAGAATCAAACGACATATTCTACCGGTGCTTATCCGCATGGTTTAGCTGTTAGTGACTTTAACAACGACACCCGGCTGGATGTTGTCGTCGCTAATTATATTGACGGGACTGTAAGTGTACTTCTGGGATATGGTAATGGCTCTTTTGCAAATCGAATGGCATATTCAGCTGGTTTTACTCCATACTATGTAGCTGTTCGTGATTTTAATAACGACACCTTGTTGGACATTGTCGTCACTAATGCCGATAGCAACACTGTAAGTGTACTTCTAGGATATGGTAACGGCTCTTTTGCAAATCGAGTAGCATATGCAACTGGCACTTATCCAGGATTTATAGTTGTAGTTGATTTTAACAATGACACCGGTTTAGATATCGTCGTCACTAATTTTTATGACAACACAATAAGTGTACTTCTCGGATATGGTGATGGCTCTTTTGCAATGCAAACGACATATTCAACTGGCGACAGGCCAGTCGGTTTAGCTATCGGTGATTTCAATAACGACACTCGACTAGATATTGTTGTAAGTAATTCTGGAAATAATACCATAGGTATATTCCTCGGATATGGTAATGGTTCTTTTGCAAGTCAAAAGACATATTCAACCGGTGCTTATCCATTCACTTTAGCTGTTAATGATTTTAACAACGATACCCGACCAGATATAGTCGTCACTAATTATTATGATGACACTGTTGGTGTCCTGCTCCGTTATGACAGAGGAGCTATGAAAAACGAAATTACATTTACGCCCAGTACTGGTGCTCATTTGACATCCGTTGCCATTTCTGATTTCAATAACGATAGTCTATTGGATATCGTCGTTGCTAATTATGGTAGTAATAACCTAAGTGTTATTCTTGGATATGGAAATGGTACCTTTGGAAATGAAATGATGTTCTCAACAGGATTAAAATCTCATCCTTACTCAATTGCAATTAATGACTTCAATAGAGACGGTCAAGTGGATATTATAGCGGTCAATCGTGGTAGTAAAAGTCTTAGTACATTTCTCGGCAACGGGAACGGAACGTTTGAAAGTCAAGCAAATTACAGCATTAGTTTCGATTTCGCTCCATTGGCTGTTGGTGTTGGTGATTTCAATATTGTTGGACGTTCGGAAATTGTTGTTGCATATGATGATACTGACAATTTGGATGTGTTTATTATATATGACATCGGAGATTTTTCTCGTCGAACGACATATTCAACTGATCCTTGGCCAACTTCTGTAGCTCTTGGTGATTTTAATAACGATACTCGACTGGATATCGTTGTCAGCACTACGTATTACGATAATGTAATTGTATATCTTGGATACGGTAATGGCTCTTTTGAAAATCAAATGACATATTTAGTTGGTAATGATCCATACTCTGTAGTTGTTGGTGATTTTAATAACGACGCTCGATCAGATATCGTCGTCACTAATTATTTGGACAACACTGTAAGTGTACTTCTTGGATATGGCAATGGCTCGTTTGCAACACAAAAAACATTTTCAGCTGGCTTTAAACCATATTTTGTAACGATTGGTGATTTTAACAACGACAGCCGACTAGATATCGTCGTCGCTAATGATGATAGAAATTCTGTATCTGTACTTCTAGGACATGGCGATGGCTCTTTTGCAAGTCAAGCAAATTATTCAACTGGTTCTCGGTCATTCTCAGTAGCTGTTGGTGATTTTAATAACGACACCCGACTGGATATCGTCGTCGCTAATTTTGAAAGCGATTCCATAAGTTTACTTCTTGGATATGGGAATGGCTCTTTTGCAAGACAAGTGAAATACTCCACTGGCACTACACCAACATTTGTGATTGTCAGTGATGTTAACAACGACAGCCGACTGGATATTGTCGTCACGAATCGTGATAACAACAGTGTAAATGTACTTCTCGGATATGGTAATGGCTCGTTTGCAAGTCGAATGACATATTCAACCGGCAATTTTCCAGTCAGAGTAGCAGTTGGTGATTTAAATAATGATACTCGACTAGATATTGTTACTAATAATTATCGTGACAACACTGTAAGTGTGCTTCTAGGATATGGCAATGGCTTTTTTGCAAATCAAATGACATATTCAATTGGTACTACTCCATTCGATGTAGCTCTTGGTGATTTGAATAACGACGGTCGACTGGATATCGTCTCCCCTAATTTTAACGGCCGAAGTGTAAGTATACTGCTAGGTTATTCCAATCAAGCCTTTGTAAAACAAACGACGCTTATAACTGGTAATGAATCTCGACCAATGTCATTCGCTACTGGCTATTTTAACAGTGATAATCAACTAGATATAGCAGTCGTGAATTCAGGTACTAACACCATGGGCGTTTTTTTGGGATATGGTAATGGATCTTTCGCAAATCAAATGGTATTTTCAACTGGCTCTACTCCAGTGTCTATTGCTGTTGGCGATTTCAATAACGATACTATATTGGACATCGTCGTCGCTAATTATGGCAATGACACCGTTGGACTATTTCTTGGATACGGTAATGGTTCTTTCTCAAGCCAAAAGACGTTTATGACGGGCTTCGCATCTTTACCCTGCATGGTCACTGTTGGTGATTTCAACAACGACACTTCACTAGACATTATCGTCGCCAATTATGCCACTAACAATGTAGGTGTGCTAGTTGGATATGGTAATGGTTCCTTTGCTGACGTAAAGGTTTTTTCGACTGATTATGGATCTCGTCCATTCTCGGTCTCCGTTGGTGATTTTAACAATGATGGAAAGCTAGATTTCGCAGTCGCTAATAAAGATGCTGACAATTTAAAAATTTTCTTACAGACTTGTTAATGTTGAAACTTCTAACTTGCGTTTTTTTTCTCCTATTCACTGTTTCTAACTTCTTCTTAGTGCTACTAATATTTCTTGTAAGTTTTTTTTTACTATTTATCTCTTGATTTATATATTCATATAAACTATGAGTGAGCGTTGGGAAGTGAAACCAAATGTGACGCGTTCCTATCTTGCTTGAAAGTCCCATGAGATAGTTTTGACTTCATATCAGTTTTATGTTAATTCACGAAAATAGAATACTCAAATAGTTAGTGTGATCGATATGAGATGAGATGTGTTTGAACAGCTATCATGATTTGGATTTATGTGGATGTTATGTACAGAAAAGAGTGATTAGCAATGCAATGAAATAAGCAACAAGAAGAACATCGTTCATATGCATATGAAACAAGAAAGAAAGTTCGTTTGTTTCTATTCAAAAGAAAAAACAAATTAATCTTGAAATGAAATGAGATAGAAAAAAAGAAGATTAACCGTATGATAAATATGAAAATTAAAAAAAACTACCATGATCTAGATTTTCTTTCGCCTACGAGAATCATGAGATCACAAATAATTATATACGATTTTGAAAAAACACCAGAATCAGAATACATTCTGTTATATGTCCATCAATGAAGTGTATATGATGATAATTTCAATGCATGAAAGTGTGAACAGGTTTTGTAGTGAATGCAGAAATTACCATATCGCTCTTGGAAGGGGATGGGATGTGTGGATTGATAAAGAAAAGATCGATATACCTGTACAAATAGCCATGCTCTACAAGTTAAATCTCAGAGAGTAATTCGTTACTTGCACCAAATGTCTATTTAACTCGCTACCAGTGATCGACACCGGAAACAGATGAACTTACAAGGTACTCTCAATGGAACTCACCGTTCATCGCTTTCTCATTTATTGATTTAATCGAAGTTCTCTTAAAAAGTTTGATTAAAATACAGATCTAAAGATAACAATTTCTAGGCAAAATGCTCTTTCGTTTAGAAACACTGGTACAAGTCAATCTATTGATGATTGATTTTGAATGCGGGTGTGATAAATATGCTGCATGACATCGACTCTCAAATATCTTCATCATACATTCACTATTACGTTTTAATAGTCTAAATATTCCTCTCCTCTTTACGCGGCTATGGTCAACTGGTTAGATGGAAAGCAAACATAATATACGTAATTTATCAAAAGATAAAAGAGATCCCAAACGAAAAAGATCAACTTGACCCATCATTAAAATGAATCGTAGCTAAAATAAGAATATTCCTGATTTGTCATATGGAAAATACCAGTGGACTTGGTAGAATCGAGCACACCTAACACATAAAACGAATGACTTGAACAAACATACGTATAAAACTTGAATCAATGGAAAAGAAAAATTTTACTTTGAATATTCAATTATTTAAATTCAATTTCTACGTTCCTGTTCATACGATAAGATTCAAATCTTTCTACTTACTTCACATCTTGAAGTTGAAATTCAAAAGTCAAACTTCATATTGACATTTAACTTTCAAGTTATTGTTGTCAATCAAGTATTTCATGAAATAAATCCTAATGAGTTCTCGTCTTATGCACTCAAATCTAAATTATTAGTGAATCCACAGTCATATGAGTCTACACGAAGAATTTTTTTTCTCACAATTGAATATGCAGATGTCAGATGTTCTCACAAATACTGCAAGAGTTCATTTGCTGTCGACGTTAGCTGTAAGCATGATATTTCACATAGTCCACACGAATAGAAAGTATCTCACATTCAATACCCAATGTGGATCCACTCAATACAATACATTCTTCATTGTTGCAACATTAATCGGATGAGCGTGTAGATGTGGTTAATGAAAATAACTAGTAAGAAAGCCAGAAAATATTTGTAGAGGAAATTCAGTCTCAGTTTGAAGCTGAAAAACTGGTATTTGTTTCGCCTATTATATGGGATCGTCTCATTTCGAGAGAAAGCTCGAAGGTTTCTTGGGTGGTGGTAGGAGCTGAGAAATTTCTGTTGAAGGCTGAACCTCTTCAACCACGTCAGACTCGATCACTTGCAATAACCAGAAAAATATGGGCTACTCTTTTCATCAAACAATAAATCACTTAACATCAATGAAGTATTTCAAATGTCTCAATGACATTCTGATGATTATACCTTGTAGAATAAGCCAATAAATAATGCACTAACATATTTCATGTTCTATTTTCTTTTTATAGAAGTAAATGAAAATAACAAAATTTTATTAGATATTATTCTTTTCATTCGAAATCTTGTGAATATCAATTTGTCATCTCCATATGAATACACCTTTAAATTGAATGATCGATCTCTAGAGAGGAGAATTTCTGAATGAATCATATGGGAAAAAAATCTTTAAAAAAACTTGTCAGTAGGTCTGCGTGAGAAGCCAATGTGTGGAACTAAAAAACTCTGACTGCTCTAAATTTATGGTATATTGTGAGAGAGATTGCAATAATTTAGCTAAAAAACAAGCCAAGAAAACAATCAAACTTATGACAATTTTTATAATTGATATGCACGCCCTGAAATGTTATTCATTAGATTCATTTAACATCGTTATAGTGAATAAAACTGATTTGTATCATCAGACACCTTCTCAAAACATAATTTCTTTTTTCATAATGATAATATAGACGATGCATACCATAGGAAGCGGCATATATCATATTATACTTCGTTTCGTCAATTTAATTACTATAAAAAGATCAAAATGCATCGAATCATATAAGATAATGATTTTTAACCTGGATTTTCTAAGGTTCTTAGCCGCATTGTTCGAAAAATAACGTGTATCTTACGCTGACTAAAACAGTTTATAACGATTATGTGTGCATTGGAACCACCAAGTGATGATCTACAAAACTATATAGGGCTATGGTCTGAAGCTTTACTACTTTAAGAGTTCTAGCTTTTGTAGTCCACAACTGAAGTCGATTTTGCCAGCAAGTCCTGTAAAAAAAAGTTCGGTTTTTTGGTTTTTTTCGTTTTTTCATGAAAAAATAATACCGTTTTTCATGGCATTTTTTAAATTAAACTGTTGTAAAAAGTTTCGAAAATCTAGGTTAAAAGTCATTGTCTTATATGATTTAATGCGCTTTCATCTGCCCAGGACGAAGCTAAGCTATCGGATCCTATCGGTTTTTGTCGGGTTCTGAAAAAATCCAATGAAATCCGGATCGGATTCCGGGTCACGGGAATCCTTGAACTGGGTACTCGTTTCAAGCATGAAAACCTCAGTTCACCATGTACGTAATAAAATTTATTCAAAAAAATGTCTACTCACCTTTTTTCTGAATGAGCATTAGTGACTGATGCCAACAGCAAAGGTCGGTTAGAGATCTTCGATGGGATTCCATCGAATTCCTACAGTAGAATTCGATCAGATTGCGATAGTAAAGATCCAAATGTCATTCTGTTCCCAATTTCCGGCAGGAGTTTAACAGCCTTATAGAAATTCATATGGAATCCGATGGGCCGATTGTTGAAATGATTCTTCTGCCCAGGTCAGACAATCAGACAGTAAGATCTTACAAGATCGTACCTCTGATCTTGTACGATCTTCTAAGACTAGATAAAAATTGCACAGAAAATCGTCGTCTAAGAATTCTGTTGATCCGTTGTATTATAAAATTCTTGAAAGACCATGTTACCTTGTAAGATCTTTCACAAATCTAATAGTATGATCTGATGCAAGATTTCTTAGATGACAATTTTTTGTCAGATTCTTGTAAGATTTCGTCCAGATTGCAAGATCTTACATGCAGATGACAAGATTTTACGTCAGATTTTCCGACCTGGGTGGGAATTGTATACGTACAAAGCAGAATTATGGCTTTTGACTTCTGACAGAGCATTCACATCTACATTTATTTCATGAGACGTTTGCATCTAAAAAAAAAAGCTTTTCAATGAGATCTTAGCTGCAGATGAAAAAGCTGTTAGCGCAATCCCTGCGGGATTAAAATGTAAAACACGATATACCTATTGTTGCTAATTCCCGAAAAAACTCGTCTTTTCATGTATATTGGGATATACTTCGACATTATTCCTTACTTTAGAGCATAGAACTTCAATAAGGAGATAGGCCATAGATATTTTAACTAAACTTGAGTTATACATCACTTCTCATAGTACCATAAAGCCGTCTGTCACAATATGTGTCTTTTCCAGACAGCACTTCGCATGCCATGTGACGGCCTCGAGAACTTATCTATCACGGTCTGTGATGAATAATTAATTAATTAGATATTAGTTAATTAACTCAGATGTCGGTCACGGTCTGTGAGAGGGGTTGACTGAGGATGGGGCCATTTTTTACCCCTTCACACTTGAACACTCCTTTTAGATCATGTTTCACAAAAGAGGGTGATCAAATTTTCTTTCTTATATTCATTCATGACCGATAATCAGACAAGACTAGTGTCCAGTCGTACTTGGTAACAGTTATAACTGAGTGTCCAACACACTGAAACCCAGTCAGATTATGCCCGTGCACATTTTTTGTATCTGCGACTGAAGAGAGCCTATTCATTACCTTCCGATCGATTGCAATGTTCGAATCGACGATTGGAGTTGCAGTTCGATTAATAAATTTAAGAAATAGAAATCTATACGCAGGCTTCGCAGCGAAGGTCGCTACAATCAACGTTAGGCCCTAACTTGGGTGTAGTGTGTAGGTGCTGCTTATTCTACGCCACACCCATGCGCCACGCTCACATCCACATCTACACTCACACCCACACCCCACCCTAGTTAGTAATTTTGCACAAGCTGTAGCTCGTTTGATTTTTCATTTAATGTTGCATATGAAAAGTACCCAATGCTGTAGGATAAAGAGAAAATCAATGAAATGAAAAATATATATCTTAAAATTTAAATGTAAGAGGAAAATTTTTTTTTGATAACATACAAATAATTGATCAGATAAAATTGTTTCTATCTCAAACTGTGTGACTTGTTCTGATAACTATTGAAAATAATATCTGCATAGAACTTATACATAACCTTTGAATGAGAGATGCATGTATGGATGCATTGTAAATGTCTGTGGTCCATTCTAGGTTAGCATATCAGTGAACTAAATGAAATTTTCACCAATCATTCTAGGTACTAAAAAAAAACCCTAATTCTTGAAAGTTAACTGATAGAATAAGAGAATGGCGTTTACTTGATGTACTCTTTTGTGACAAACAAATTACGGTTTATAAGTCAGTTAATATTAGAGAATTCTACTCTGCAATATTCACTATATGACTGAAAGCAGGAATTCAGCCTAAGCGAATTTTTACGAATTAACTTCTCAGGACTATGTTGTTTTAGATATATTTCATGATACCTTTTCTGCTAGATCATTGAATTCTAAAAGATAGAATATTTGTAGATGCATTGGCTCATGAAAAACACAAATATATAGTCAGAATCGATCCCAGACCCAATAGTCTTGAAAAAAATGCGAATTGAAAAATTTTGAGTCTCATAGTATGACTAAAACTTTTGAATTCGATATGTCTTAAAGAGAAGATTAGAGATCTCTAGATTTTTTAGTTCTAAAAACTTTACTACTGATTAGAAAAGAAAATAGTGTCAAAATCAAAAGAAAGTTTAGATTTTCTTTGAAAATTTTCTTAATGATTGTTTAGTTTAAGGTGGCTTATATATTGAACTATAAAATAAATTTATATCTTTGAATAGTGGTTCTACATAGTTAAAATGAATATATATATTTGAAATTAAGTTCATTTGCTATGTTAAGTGAACTAAGAATGGCATATTTTTCGTTTCCTAATCAAACCAGAGAACGTCCAAAAGAAATTTCATTTTGTATTGATTGACATTCGATAATAAGTTGAAATTATCTGGATAGATTGAAATAGAAAATAAAGAGAAAGACTAAGTTGAAGAATACCAGCAAGTCCAGTTCTCTAATCATTCTGAACAGATATTGACATAATTGAATATTAGTTGTAATTCGGAATCAACTGATGATGATCTTATTCCATTTAGAACTACAATTGATG